TTCATGCACGGGCCGTGGAATCTGCAGCAACGCATATTTGGTTCTGCACCCGCGCTGCTAGTAATGTATATCCCTCTTCATCTGCTCCTCTCTCTCCTCTCCACTCTGCTGCTGTTGCTATGGTTACCCTGTGCAGGATGAGATCCTGGTGAGTAGTCAGGCAGCGGCTGATGCGCCAAGCAGAGAGAGTGCATCAGGGCAGTCATTTTGCAGGCATTTATCACTGCGAAACAATATGAAAAAAAAAAATCAAGCTACCGGTACACAAATTGACCTCTTAGAAGATCTGCAAAAAAATTTAGATGCCACTATATTCTTAAACTGAATAACACAATGGTTTGTAATATATCAAACTTAGCCACAGGCTTGCTGTAATACATTGTGAACACGTCACGCTTATCCTCACTTTACCTCACAGAAAACTGGAATGTATACCGTGGTCTGATTAACATACACACTCAGAAAATAATTTTAAGGAGCCCCAGATGCACCCTCCTGCCTTGCTCAGTCCCCCCTTGTGTGTGCTCATGTCCCTTCCTCCTGTTCCTTTCCTGCTATTAACACTGTGTGTGAGAGTCCACACTCCAGACCTTGACCGGCAGCCACGTCACTCTGATAAATTAGATCTGTCACAGTTTAGGAGGCTTGCATAACGATTTTTTTACTTCAGAATCCAGACCTGAAATGCTTTACAGAGCTGCAAGAGATAATTAGGCTGTCAACGGTTTATACGACCTGTAAAAAAAAAATGTAAGGTAAGGTTCTCACCTTTTACAAGATGAAAATATCAGCCTGATTACCTCTTTCCTATTAACAATATTGGCAACAAGTCTCATTTTTACTGGCCAGCCTGGTGTAATGTTGACCAGGTGAAAATCATGAAGAGGACATCATACAAAATGGCCACCGGCCTTTACTGAAAACAAATACTGTCATATTCTAGGATGGTTTAGTCAATAAGGTTTCTTGATGCATATCTAAAGCCGTTATTTTAGCTCTGGATGGAGCAGAGGTTGGCTAAAACCCCTGCCATTTGTTATGGCTGACCATGTCTACGGTTGCGGCCTGCCCATTATTACACCAGAGTTTATTAATATGAAAGAGATTGTGAGGTTGGTATTGTTCCCAGAAAGGGTAGCAACCTTATCTTTGTCTCATTGGGGAGATTGTCCTTCATTTCCTGTCTTAAGGCACTACAGGAAGTGATAGGAGATCTCTCCAAATTAGGGTTAAATGCTGACCAGGTGGAAATCTAGAAGTCAGGTATACTATGAGGTAATATGTGTGAGGTAGAAGTCAGGTATACTATGAGGTAATATGTGTGAGGTAGAGGTCAGGTACACTATGAGGTAATATGTGTGAGGTAGAGGTCAGGTACACTATGAGGTAATATGTGTGAGGTAGACGTCAGGTACACCATGAGGTAAAATGTGTGATGTAGACCTCAGGTACACTATGATGTAATATGCAGGGATTCCAACCTGCCAAAACTAATTTCAGGGAGGTGCCCAGAAATGAGAGGGTACCTCCCTGAAATGATAGCAGAGGAGCTAATGCTTCCCTTGCTATGTGCTGATTTTTTGTGTGTGTTTTTTTTGTATTCTTGCAGCGGCCGCAGAATTAAAAAAAACAAAAACCAAGCTTGCAGGGAAATTAATAGCTAGGCTGCTATTGGCCATTCCAAATTGCAATAGCCAATAGCAGGCTGGCTATTGCACCCACCAACTGCTGCTGTCAATCAGCAGAGGAGACATGAAGAAGAACTTCAGGTCCACCTCTGCTGATTGACAGCATCAGTGAACGGCTGCAATAGCCAGCGGCCGCCATCAGAATAGAAAAAAAAACAGATAGCAGGGGATCCCGGGATGGTTTACTCTGCTAGATAGAGCAGAGTAAACCTTTCCAGGATAAAATGTTTCTCTCGCGAGCTTCAGGAAGCTGCTATTGTGTAGCAGGAGACTCCTGAAACGTCCGGGAGAGTTGGGATGCCTGAATATGTGGTGAGGTAGAAGTCTGGTACACTATGAGGTAATATGTGTGAGGTAAAAGTCGGGTATACTATCAGGTAATATGTGTGAGGTAGAAGTCGGTGTCACTATGAGGTGAAATAAAACCAAGTTTTTTCTTTTTCTCTGTGAACAGATGGAATTTGAGGTAAAACTGTAAAAGTTTTTTGTTTGTTTTTTTTTTTTTAAAGGGTGTGGGGTTTTTTTTCTTCTTTTTTTAGTGTATTTAGGAGTAGTCTTTTATTTAGTATTTTTTGTGATTTTAATTTTTTTTTTGTGTAATTTTTTTTGTGTAATTTGTTATCGTTATTTGTGTACTATTGTTTAATGTTTTGATTTTAGTTGTTTCACATTTAGCAAGACGTTTAAACTCATTGCACCAAAACAAACCTAATGAGGGGAGTATGGAGACTGTCATTGCTGATCTTCTGAAATAAATGCTAGATGCCTGGCTGTGTCTGACTCTGTGTGCTTTTGCGTCACAGACCTAGGACAAGCATGCTGCAAGGGCTTATGTGCCCAAGGGTGTTAAGTTAATGCATACGCGTTTTTGCATGCTTTGCATTAGGAAAGCACATTCAAATAAATCTGCTGCCAGTACATTAAAACATCAAAAAAATGGACATGCATAATTTTTTGTAACGTAAAGTAGCTTTACAGTGCGCATCCATGACTGGGAGGGTCCTGGTGCTGTGTGTAGACATGTGCAGCCGTCTGCACACCTCTATGGCAGAATGTGGCTGCACACGTCTACACATTGACCCGAATTTGTACATCCGTACAGGTGCACTATATTGCCAAAATTATTGGGACAGCCCTCCAAATCATTGGATTCAGGTGTCCCGTGAAATTTCCTTGCTACTAAATATTCCACGGTCAACTGTTAGTGGTACAACTGTTAGTGGTATTATACCAAAGGGGAAGCAATTGGGAACAACAGCAACTCAGCCACAAAGTGGTAGGCCACGTAAAATGACAGAGCAGGGTCAGCGCATGCTGAAGCGCACAGTGCGCAGACGTCACCGTCTGCAGAGTCAATAGCTACAGACCTCCAAACTTCATGTGACCTTCAGATTGGCACAACAACAGTGCGTAGAGAGCTTCATGGAATGGGTTTCCATGGCCGAGCAGCTGCACCCAAGCCTTACATCACCAAGTGCAATGCAAAGCATCAGATGCAGTGGTGTAAAGCACGCCACCACTGGACTCTAGAGAAGTGGAGACGTGTTCTCTGGAGTGACGAATCATGCTTCTCTGTCTGGCAATCTGATAGACGTGTCTGGGTTTGGCGGTTGCCAGGAGAACGGTACTTGACTGCATTGTGCCAAGTGTAAAGTTTGGTGGAAGGGGGATTATGGTTTGGGGTTGTTTTTCAGGGGTTGGGCTTGGCCCCGTAGTTCCAGTGAAGGGAACTCTTAAGGCATCAGCATACCACGACATTTTGGACAATTTCATGCTCCCAACTTTGTTGGAACAGTTTGGGGACGGCCACTTCCTGTTCTAACATGACTGCGCACCAGTGCACAAAGCAAGGTCCATAAAGACATGGATGAGCGAGTTTGGGGTGGAGGAACTTGACTGGCCTGCACAGAGTCCTGACCTCAACCCGATAGAACACCTTTGGGATGAATTAGAGTGGAGACTGCGAGCCCGGCCTTCTCATCCAACATCAGTACCTGACCTCACAAATGCGCTTCTGGAAGAATGGTCAAACATTCCCATAGACACACTCCTAAACCTTGTGGACGCCTTCCCAGAAGAGTTGAAGCTGTTATAGCTGCAAAGGGTGGGCCAACTCAATATTGAACCCTACGGAGTAAGACTGGCATACCATTAAAGTTCATGTGCGTGTAAAGGCAGGCGTCCCAATACTTTTGGTAATATAGTGTATGTCAGATTGTCTCTGCATGGACGTGCACGCTGCATGTCCGTGTGAATGAGACCTTACAGACATGCTAATGGGTGCATTACCTCAATACTTCAGTGTGAATGGGCCCTAAATGAGTGTCAGAAAAGTAGAATTATCTTATCTTTATAGCTGCACCTGGCCAATTACTCTGAAGGCATTGAATCCAAAGCATCAGCACGACAGGCAGAGAACAAACATTTTTTAAAGAAGAGTTCAGTAATGGCAGCCCCCGGTTCTTACATGACTGAGTCTCTTTAATTTCGCCTTTCCTATTGACTCCAGTGAAAGTCTCCTGATTGACCTAGTCCTAAAAATAACATGAAATAATAACAAAAAATTGTATAGTTGGAAGAGTCTGGTATAAATTAAGCAGCTCCTAATAAAAAATGGTCTATTTTCTATGGATAAGACAGTATTAGAAGCAGGCCTCGTCTCATGACCGGATTGATGGCTGTGAAAAACTATGAAAGGTCTGGAGTTAAACATCTCACAGACTGCAATTCCATCTATTCTATCTCCTCCCCTGGAAGGGAGCAGTCTTCAAATTACAGATAAGAGATGGCTGGATTTGGCAAGCTTTTTCTGCTTAGTGACAGAGCAGCAGCATGATATTTACAGCCTATTCAGCAGACAGAGGCTTGCTGCCATTTCATTGTCTGGCCTGGCCGAGCACTGAACAAGATGGCCGACATTCTGCTCTCGTGTTTTTTGAGTGAGTTTGTGGATTTTGCCTGAAGTGTGTGCATGTGTCTCCTAATCTCAGCTTGTCACATTCCTGCCTTCAGACCGCATAGTGACCCCACCATCTCTCACGCTTTACTTTTTCCTTGTGTGGCTTCATAATCGTGTGATGTTCAGAAACCGGGCACTGGTGCTCCAATTTACGTCTCCTCTCTGCCACATGGTTATATGTAAATGTCCCGTAATACGGGCTTGTTGAACAAATACAGCTACTCAGTTAACACGTGGTCATCATTTTTATTTTAAATTGATATTATGTAATAAAATACTGCAAAGAGCAGAGGTGTGTGGTAGCCCAATTGTACTGCAGTTTAAGTACTGACTAATTGCAAGCTGCACTCTCATCAGTCAGTATGTGCTACTGCATATGTCTGCTCTGTGCGCAGTGTTGTTCTATCAGCACTAAATGTAGAACTGAAAATTTATAAGACACACGTTAAATGCTTAATTAAAGTGGCATTTTTGTCTTTTTCTTTTAAACAGAGTGGCGGCATAACTAACATGGCAAGAGAGGAGATTTTTTTTTTCTTTCAAACTTCAATTAGTTTTAACAGCACCAATTCTTTTATGGTAGTCATATACGGCAACACGGATGCTGTTCTTCAATGACTGGTAAACATAGTCCTAGAGAGGCTAAAGTAAACCTGTCACGACCTGTGTGCTTCACAGCATAATTGTAAACGTGAATAGGTAGAGCTTACCTTCATTGAAAACCATGTGTCAAAATGATCAGTGGATCAGTTACAGGCAGCTCTTCCTATTAAATGTTAGCTTACCGCCCCATGTCACCTCCAAAGCTTTCTTATTAGTTCTTTGTGTGACCAGTAGAGAGGTTCAGGTGTCAAGAGCAGGCAAGCAAAGCTGAAATTTGGAGGAAAATGTGAGCTTTGTATATAACTTCCCAAGATCTGCTGATCATTTAGATGTGACTGAAGGTAGCTGCCACCTATACGTTTATACACCATGCACATTTTTGAATTGCCCAGGTTTGGATGGGTTTATTATGTCTTTATAGTGACTGCAAGTTTTACATTAACACATCTAAGAATTAAATAACAGCCAATATTTGTGTACTCTGTTTTCAGATGTAAGTATCTAGACATGCAATCTCTTTAAACCAATGATTCTTTTGTTGACCAGTGTATATTGACCGGTCACAGCCCGGTGGACACATGGCCCAGTAACCAAGTTACCTTGTTGCCACTTATACATGATTCACTATGGTATGTGCACACAGCCGTTAGAGAAGCTTTATGGGAAGTATAAACAACTATTTATTAATGCATTTTAAATAACTAGATGTGTAACCCTAACATATTAAATGCATGCCGTCAGTGTGTCACTTAAATCTCTCTAATACTAAACACATGGAACCTCATTTTATCATTGTGTCAGAGGGAAGGACTGTCTCAAAAAAGTAAGTGTTGCCCATAACAACCAATAGGTTCCTTTCACTGTGCTGTGTTCTCTAGGTCAGGGGTACCTATCTGGCTATCATTGACCGCAGTTTCTTCCTCAGATGCATTGATAAATGACAGTGAGTTGGGGTGTGTATATGTGATATACATGCATCTTCTCTGCAGTAACAAAATCACCTTTCATTGAACAGGTCATCCGGAAGGGGTGGCTGACCATTAACAACATTGGTATAATGAAAGGAGGTTCAAAGGAATATTGGTTCGTCCTCACAGCAGAGAACCTGTCTTGGTACAAAGATGATGAGGTAAGTCCCCATCTACATAAGATATGTGCTTTTTATATGTGGTAAGCTGTATTTTAGATGTCTGTATTGTCCTTGCATTTTGCTTTGAATTGCATTATATTTTATTATTATTATATTCACACTATTTATCACTTTTATTGTTATTATCACGTATATCAATTAGTTTAGAGTGTATCACATAGGGACCATTCAGTTTGGTAGCACTGATTTGAGAATACATTATTATTATTATTATCATTATCATTATATAATACATTGCAACTGTAAAAGTATAGGAATGACATCAAAGAAAAAAATACAGTAAACAACAGACTTTACATACCAAGTAGTCACTGTTGGCCTCGACACAGAAGATGATGCTTGCAGCACAGTGGGCTGACTATAGGTCGCCATATACTATGCAAATTTCTTGATGGCACCCTTTCGGCCGGCATCACCCGATCAGCTGATCGAAGGAGCCGGAGTGTAAGATTTTTAATAACGTGTGACAACCACTTATATAGAACTCGGCTGCGGATAGCGTATAACTTATAAATCCATATATTCACAAAAGAAACGGTTTCAGTTTAAATCACTGTATTCATTTGTTAAGACAATAGTATTCACAACATAGACTCCAATTGTGTGTCATCAAACCAGAATCTGCAGCGGCCTTTAATCCACTCTTTTATCACTTGGCACAGTGCATGGTACTTGCGTTTAGTAGTGTAGAGGAACAACAGGTGAGGATCCTCTGCGAGAGAGTGAGAGAGGGAGCGTCCTGGGAATACCACAGTCCCTTTAAGTGGGATGGTAGTCTCGGTTCCTCGTGTCTAAAGGTCCCCACACACCTTACGATAATCGCGGGAAATCCCGCGATCATACGATTATCGTAAGGTGTGTGGAAGCCGTTTGAGCTCTACTACTGTAAGGTCGCACGACTTTAAACTTACAGACATGTTTCAAAACCCGCCGAGCATCGTACGATGTTTGGCGGGTGTGTAGCATGTTCGTGAGATAAAAGCCGGATGGGCCGGTGTGCGCAAGCGCACACTGCCCGTTCGGCATTGCGGTCATCGGATGCCCGCCCCACAGGGGGCGTGGCTTGCGATCATCGCAAGTACGATCTGCCTATGCCAGATAGGCAGATCGTACGTTTTTTAAAGTACCTTACAACCATCGCAAGACAAAAGTCTTGCGATAGTTGTAAGGTGTGTGCCCAGCCTTAGTCCAGAGTATCAGCACCTGTGAGGGTAATCTGGGCTGCGCATGAAATGTACAGTGCAGGAATGCCCAACAGGGCTGGCGAGGGAGATTGAGTTCCTGGTTTCTGCTGTCCTGCAAATCAGTTCTCCAAGAGGGGTCAGGAACACAGGGACGGTCAGCATCTGTATCCAACTCAATACTGAGACGCCGATCGTTCCGCCACTCGGTCCTTAAGTGGGCCGCCATAGAGGAGGAGCAGAGTGATGCCCCTGGAGCAGGCGGTGCCGAGCGCCGCCCTGTAGACGTGGACGTAGGATGATGTAGGAGGAGTGGGCGGAGCCTTACGCCATGCGGGCGGACCCGCATATTACACGGAGGAATCTGTTCTATTTTTGTCGTTCAGCCCGCAGGTTGAAAAAAGAAAATAGTAGTGTATTATCCTGGTCAGTTCTGTGCAAGGTTTGTTCCTTCTCAATCTATTAGAAATAGGCAAGCTTTGCCTGGAGGCAGTGAGGACTTTGTGGCTACACCATACTTATAAGGCCCCTACAACTGGGACATTAAAAATGCCTAGCTTGATGCTGGGGATTTTTCCCTTTTGATTGTAGCCAGGTTTCCACAGCCTTCAAAACGGGTTTTCCAACTGGATGATTTTAACCAACTCTGCACCTCCTTATATAGGGCATAAATCCCAACTGACATCCATACTCGTGGCGATGTTTTCCCGCCAAAATAACGGTTTTTCCCGCCGAAAAAATCCACCGTTGGATACTCTTAAAGAGACAGTACACTAAAATACAAAAACTGGGAAAAAACACCAAAAATTGCATGTAACCAAAAGTCCCCACATTCCCATAAAAATGGGCATCTAATGGATGCCATTTATACAGTCTTTCCAACTGTCACTCATTAAAGCAAACATCCAGCCAGACAGGTAATTATATGATTAAATTAGCAACCAAACATTTGTAGCCCTGTTCAGCCACTTTTGTGGTTCACAAACCTTTGACACACCTTATAGCCAGAGGGTGACAACACAATTCCAACCTGAAGATCTGCTGCTCTCATTGACACCTTCCCACTTCCAGCCTGCTCATTGAACATGGCCTTGCATCACCATGTTAGTGCTCATGACGATGGGCATTCTTGTCATACAAAAGCAAATGCATGCAGGGTTTGACAAGAAAAGGCATCCAAAGAAACGTAGCGCAACACAAAGCAGGTCCAATGCAGCTTCTGAACTGCCAAGTGTGCTGCTCACATACAGGGCCGGCCTTAGGGGTGTGCGAGCAGTGCGGCCGCACAGGGCGCCATGGCAACAAGGGCGCCGTGCGGCCGACACAGCTCGTCCTGGGGGCGGCTTCTCTCCCTCTCACCTTAAAGGGTGTGGCCAATGAGGGGTGTGGTCACTGAGGGGCGCTGTAAAGCTTTCTCGCACAGGGCGCCTAAAGGCCTAAGGCCGGCCCTGCTCACATAAAGCCAATAGGATTTTGTTAACCTGTAACTGATGTGCGCTCCAAATGCTAATGCCCTTCGACATGAGCCTTTAGAAAGGTTTTCTCTTTGCTTCCTCTCTGCTGTAAACTGCCTAAAATCTCTCAATCCAGCCATAAGTGCCTAACATATGCTAGATGACAGCATGAAATCTAAATCGACTGCCTTCTAGTTCAGGTACTTTAACTCTTTATATATGATATTGGGTGAGCTGACAACTGTTGATATTTAACATAGAATTAAAGGGATTATACCAAACTATATTTTAAATTGCTTTTCCTGGTCTGAAAATATTGCAGGCTCTTTTTTTCTGTACTGATATGTTCCCCATGCCTGTTGATCTACCAGAAATGCACTAAGCTCTTATTTTCCTCTTGAGGAATGACACCACATGTGTTTTTGTGGACTACACTTAAATGACTTGGTGTAACTGCTCAGGTGTCTGTTGTTAAACCACTAAAACCTGCTTGTTATTCTCATCTCTACAGCATAAGGACTTATTGTTTTGTAGTGCAAGATAAAGTGAGAGGACACCAGATGACCTTGCTGAGTGTACAGGACACAGGACAGCTCTGAATTTCTGATACAGTCAATAGGTTTTTTATCTTACATTTATTGTACAGATATAACAAAATGCTTCTGATGTAATATTTCACTGACCAAAACATTTCATACACTTTTTAATGCTTTAATCTTCAGCTAGCAGGCAATTTGACATACAGTAAAAAATGTGAGGAAGAATAAGTAAGTATGCTTGATGCCAACAGTGAAACTAGGTGTAATCCGTGTCCAGAAGGTGGAATTACACGTTAAAATTAGAACTGTAATGTGTGAACAGAGAATCACATGTAAAGGCTTGAAGATGATCTTAAAGAAGAACTCCAGGCATAATTATTCTTAACCCTTGCAGTGTGCACTGCAATTTTCACCTAGGGTTAAAAATTAGACAATAAAAGAAAGGGGCGAAATTAGGCAGTGCAGTAGTAACAATTAATAAATAAATTATTCCCTGTGAACAACGTCAACTCCCAATAAAAATCTATAATACAATGAATTATTGAAGACTCCCCAAGGGAAATACATACACAGGGAATTCCAAGTACCAAACCAAAAAATCACCATCACTTTATTACAAATACAAAATAAACTCTAATAATCATGAAGTACAAACAACTACAGACTTTAAAACCATCTAAAATTACCATCACCCTGCATGATGCTAAATATATTAATACATCATCAATACAGATGTCCAAAATGCAAATAATATACATGATTCCCAATTGCAACTAATACACTAGAGCAGGGGTGCCCATAAGGTCGACCGCGATCTACCAGTCAGAAATAAAAAAGATATAATCACCTGAACCTCAAAGCCGTCTTTCCCCCCTCTGCTCCAGCGGTCCAAAGTCCTGTGAGCCATCACATCCTATACAGTGTATAGGACGCTGAGGAATATTCAATCGCTGAAGTGGAGGTGGAGCGAGGCTGCAGCCACACGGCTCCAAGGTTCAGCTAGATGAAAATAAGCACTTGACCCTTGCTGTGCAATAGTAGCCTCACAGCAAGGGTTAAGAATAATTGTGGCTGGAGACTAGGGTTGCCACCTTTCCATCCAGTGAAACCCGAACACTCTAGCGATGCACAGAATTTTTTTGGGGAGAATGAGTTGCAGCTTATTCATATGTAAATAGTGCCACCCATTAATATGTAAATATCACAGTCAAGATTATTTTCAGTGGGGGGCCAGTAGCCCCATCTTCATTTTGGTTGCCCCTGTCTGCCTGACATCTTGTGTCCGGATTTCAGCTGCCATGAAACCCCGACACAGCATTCAAAACCCGAACTGTCCGGGTGAATCCTGGACAGGTGGCAACCCTACTGGAGACAGCTCTATATTGCATGCGGACTTTGAAGCAGACCTTTACCCCCTTTTGCTAAAAATCACACCAGCATGCAGCTCTGCATACTGATTTAAAATCATCTTACATCCATTAGTTGAACAAACTTGTTTTTCATTTACTTACAAAAAGAGCTAATCTACTTTCTGGTCCAGTTATGCCACAAATGATGTAAGTGCCAAAATGTTGCATTCTGGGAAGGTTACATCAGCAGAGCTTTGCTGGGAAATCTTATCTGTAATCTCACGAGATCCCAGGGAAAGGCATTATTTTCCATTGAGATGATGTGCATGGTCACATGTCTTAGTCACATGTGCCAGAGTTCCAGGAAGTAACTGGAGAGCTAGTAATCTGCCCTTAGTTAACATGGCCACAGTCAGAAGACTGGGGAAGAAAAGAGAAACAAGGTCTCAAAGAATA